ATGAAAAAGACAATTGAACTGAAATTTAGTTTTTTTGAGTTGAAATTTAAAATTTTCGATCCAAAAAATTTAGTTTGGTCTATTTTTGGCTTGATATGTGCGATCTAATAGTCATTAATGTGCAATTCATATAACCTTAATGTGCAATTCAAATAACCAAAATAAATTACATTATTCATTCTAAAAAATGTTTAGTCTTTAATATTTTATATTTATTATTATATGTTAATATTTTATTACAGAAATAGTATATATGTAACCAGAATATAATGTGCAATCTATCAGTTATTACTGTGCAATTCGTCCAACACTACAGTGCACAATGTCAGTCTATATTGTGCAGAAGAAACCGACCAAACTTTCGTTCTAAATCAAATTGAATAAATAAAGTACAAGCACACAAACACAAATGTGCATCTAGTATAACATTAATGTGCATTCTATTGTATGGCATTTTTTTGTTCATTTAAATCTTAGGCAACTTTAATAATGTGTATTTTAATTTACATTATTACAATTATTATATAACTCATGCAATTAAAATATATTTAGTAATTTATGTGTTTTTGAATATTTTGTAATATTATCTGTTGAAAATAAATAAAAGTATTTTTAAACAAATTTACGTAGAACGTAATAATGTGCATTTTGTCTGACGCTATGGTGCAACCTGACATTCACTAATGTGCTAATGATTATTAATATCGTGCATTAAATTTGAGTTTTTTTATTTATTTTTTTATGTTCAAATTAAAACTATTATGAACTAAAATACTTTTATTATTCGGATGGTTGCTCGCATAAACCCAAATTTATGGAATACTTTAATATTTATTGTTATGAAAATATATTTTAGTATTTTAATAATTTTATATATTTTCTTTATTGTTTTCTTTTTGTTAAGAATGATATAATTTACATATGTATAAAGGAAAATATCAAAAATAATATTGTTTTATATATTTTATAATCATAATGTGCAACTGCAATACATACAAAAATATAGATAAAAAATAGTATTATCTTTCATAAAAAAAATATAAATAGTAAAAATGGTAATATATTTTCATATATTTCGGCATGTTATGTTATATTTAAAACTATTAAATTCGAAAAATAACCAACTAATATTATTTGATCGATTAGCACAATTACAGATTTTTTAGTACGTGCAGCGTTTCGTTCTATACGGTGCAATATGTTGTGTTATAAGGTGCAATATGTTGTGTTACAAAGTGCAACGTACTAATTTTGGTACATTACCATGCTTGTGTGTTTTTTAAATAGACGATGGATAATGTGCAACGCATTATTTTATAAAGTACGACATTCCGCTATGTAAAGTGCAGTAGCTAATTTATAATTTTCCAGAAAATTATGTATATAATTATAAGTCGCATTAACCTAAATAATTAAAATATTTTTTTATTTATTATTTTTATTATATAATTTATTTATTATTATAAAAAAATTATATTATTTTTATTTAACAATTTATTTATTATTTAATATATATGCATACCAAAGCATATAAACAAATATTTTTCTTATTAAGTTTCAATAATTATAGATTTGACACATGGGTTAAATTGAAATATACTTAAAATTATCAAAATTGCAATTATGTCCCTATACATTATCTAATTCTCAAAAAACATGCCCAACCTCACACAAATTTTCAGATTTCATCATGCCCTAAAATCACCTCTCCAAATTCATCTTCATCCTCCACCACCTCACCTGCCGCGTCCAGCCCTATCCGGTCGCCGCCCAGCTCTCTCCGGTCGCTGCCCAGCTTCTCCCGCCGCGAGGTGAGCTTCGTCTGTAACTTCCAGCTGGGCCGGTGAAATCGACGGCGACATGTGCGAGCTTTGCGACCTCTGATGGTGGAATCCCGACGGCCGCGACCTATAACAGGAGTATGTCAGTAACGGTCGGAGCTCTTTCACGTCCAGTAGCGCGGCTGTGTATGGTGGAGATGCGGCGGCCCTTCAGGTACGTTGGTGGCAGGAGGCGGTCGATGGTGGAGGATCTCTCATTCTGGTTGGCGGCTGCCGACGTTAGACGTGGAGATGTTCTTTGACTGTCGCCGGCGTGGATGCCGGCCGGCGGCAGCGGCGGAGATCGGTCGATGGCGGCAGAAACACATCATGTGTGTGTATGTATATCTGTATGTGTGTGTGTGTTTTCTATGGTGTGTGTGTGTGTGTGCAGCGTGAGTTAATGTGTGTGCAGAGTGTGTGTACGTGTAGGTGTGTGTGGGCGTGTGTTTTGTATGTGTTAGATGTGTGTGGGGGGTGATGTGACATGGTGATGTGTTGTGATGTGTAATAAAATTACTAAAATACCCTTAATGAAGATATAATGTTGACTTTTTTTGAGCCACTAGATCTTCCAATCTAATGGTCATGATTTATTCTTATTTCTTTCATTGAGAACCATTCTCACTGGAACCCAACCCTATATATATATATATTCATAGGACATGTTAAATATATCCGACAAACACGTAAGTACGAACAACATGATAAATAAACACGTAAGAATTAATCGAAGGGTCGAAACTCGATACCGTTCTCGGGAAACGCGAGAATGGTTCGAATGGATTGACGGGACAACGGAGCTCGACGGCTTCACGCATCTCGCCGGGGAGGGAGGAGCAGCGGCTGAACGAGACCTTCGCGAGGGGCTGCACGCGGACAACAACGGAGACGGCAAGCTCACGAGGGACGAGGCTGGGGCCTGGACGCGACTTGACAACAACCGGTGGTGGCTGAACTAACTGGGGAAGATGGTTCGCGAACAACAATGGTGGGAAGAAGGACCTGCTGCTACTATCTCTCACGCACGGTTGAAGGCGGGGTAATCTGACACAGTCGGGTGGTTAGAGGCTGAGAAGGGCCCGCGATGGCTTCCCGACAGTTGCTACTCGATGGTCGTCTGGTGGTGGTGATGAGGCTGCGCGTGGAGAGGGATGATAGCCTGAACGTGGTGACGAAGATGATGATGATGATGGGGTTGACGAAGGTGATGATCGATGGTGGAAGAGATTGAACGAGAATGAGGTGAAAAGGACGGAGGGCGATCAGATTTTCACTTATATGCTTCAACGCGAGAGAGAGAGAGAGAGAGAGAGAGAGAGAGAGAGAGAGAGCAGAAATAAAGAGCTGCGGGGAATTCTCTTTGACGAGCTAAAGGGGCCAACATATTTATATGTATGTATTTTAGGTTAGCAATTAGTCCCCAAGCTAAGCAATCACACGCACACACACGCACGGATTAGAGGGCCCAGCTCATGGGCGGTTCGGTTCACATGCGGGTTCGAGATAATAACTCGTTCTCGGGCTCGGTTAATCACGCGATGAATTAAAATATTAACCGAATAAAATATATATACATATGTTTATAATACACATTTTATTATTGTATTAATAATACACAATTAGACACATAAAAATAGTATTTAATAATACACATTTAATCACACAATATTTATTTACATACTAATAGGCTATTAATCAATTAGGCATTTTAGACATTTAACAAATGCAATAATAATAACAATAATAATATGATCAATTAGGTAATTTAATAATAATAATAATAATAATAAAGATCTCAAATAATCCATATATATTCACATAAATTCACATATTCGAACCCGGCGCTACAGTAAATCATTCATAAAACCAGGCTTTCAGTATATACACACACATGTAACTAACACATGTAATGGTCTTCCAAGCAAATCTACACCCACAAAGGTAGCCCAACTCTTGTTACTGGAGTCACTAGTGTGGACAACGTCTACGATTTTTAAACCCTTGGCTACGTGTAATTATGTGTTTTTAAGGCAACTTATAATGCTACTCTTTAAAAAAAAAAAAAAATGAACAGAATCAGCAAAATTCATGAGACAAAATTCAGGCAATTGGGGAAGAGCAGACAACTTTCTCAAGAGTTTGCCAACATGCGGTGCTCTCACTCAATGTTCTTAATGAGAATGCTAAATTGTTTTAAACTAGATTATAAGAAATCATACACCAGAAAGATAATTTAGAAGTTCTTGAAAATTTCTTAATTCCTCCATTTCAAACAAGAGAAAACAAACACATTTGATTATGTCTTCACAATTCATGCAAGTCGTTGTTGCAGAAATGAAGTCCGTGGTCCAGCTAGATCTATAGCTCATATACAGGATCAACCAGTCTCAACCAGTCTGGTTGATTTCAGCCTAGAACCAAAGTAAACAAAATAGCAAAATCCAGCCAGATCGAAGTCATTTTTTGTATGAAAACGACTAGTTGATTATTTTGAATGTAGAAAACTGAAACAGATAAAATCTACTCTCAATGTCCAGTACAACCAAAGTGATTAGCACAAACTCCTCTAAGCTACTAACTGGAAGTAGTTTGCAAATAATAGCAAAGATTCTATATGGATGCTATCACCGCAAGAAAAGAGAAAAAATTCATGTGCCCTCGACACATGGTGGTAAGTGAAATTATCAAATGATTCTCCCCCAGTTTTAAATAAATACCAATTTTTGTTTCGAAAATCAGAATTAAAATTTCTCTGAAACGGAATTCTATTTCCATATAGCAACAGTTCTTATGGCTGACAATATATGAAAGACATTTCAAGTTCCAACTGAGGAAACTATAAATTGTACCAGATGCAACCATTAGCATGGAACAATGAGATATTGATGGCCAGGAATCAGTTACCATTTACCTCCAATGGTTTTATGAGACAAAGGAAAACGTGATGTCAAACCCAATATTAATCTCCAGAAAGCATCTAATGACTACGAAATATTTAGGTTACAATTGAAACTAGGCAGCTACAATATGCACTTCATATAAACTCAAACTGATCACTAAGCAACCAAACATGAACCCAAACCATAAGACATTCAATTCACTAATAAATCAGAAGCCCCACAAGAACAATCATAGATAACAAGGATGATGAACATGATATTAACCTCATACATTATTCTCCAAGAGTTTTCGACAATCAATGAAAGAAAAAAAGAAAAAATGAAAAGCACAGAATTAGACAACCTGTATAACTGGAGCGAGGCATACCTCATCCTCTCCAAGTCGAGATGCACATTAAACATTCATCCCCAATTCAAGATGGGCTCACAATTCAAACTCATCCTCTAGCTTCAACTGTTCTGCTGCAGCCTCCTCCTCCTCATCATCAATCACAAAATACGGGTTGTGGGCCTCGGGTTTGAACTTGTACCCAGTGAACACATAGAATGCAAGTGTGGCCAACTCCCCCGCCACCACACTAGTCCAAAGGTATTTATATGAAGTAATGGTCTCAAGAGCATAGACCACAACACGCGTGAAGTAAATGTAGCATATCACCACTATATAATACTGCCTAAACAGAGTCAACTTCATCAGATTTACAGCGGCCTTCCCATCTGTCTTGGCCGCCTCGCGCAAGTTTTTGATAGACCACACAATAGGGAAAAGCACCGCACAACAGCAAACAACGTCAACAAGCAGGAACACCTGTTTCCAGGTAACCCAATCCTGACCGAAAGGCCCTGTCTCATCTATCACCACTTGTGCTATGTTTGCTACCACCTGAAGCGGGATCACGATCATCAATACCTTCTTCTCCTTATCCTGCAAGTAGGGCTTCAAGAACGACCACCCGGTCCCAATCAACACGATCAACGTAAACAGAGTAATCCCCTTCAGGAAACTAAATATGTAAAACAACACATCCCACCCGTGGGCAGACCCTGTCCGCTTGATGTATGATTTGTCCTCAGCCTCACACAGTAAATTCAGTGCTTTCAGGAGCACCACGGCTAGCATGAAGAAATGAATCCCAAAAACTGTCAACATCTTCTTGTACAAAACAGCAATCCACGTGGCGGCCAAAACGAAATAGATAATGGAGAACACGAAATAAACCCTAGGCAGAACGGTTTTACCGGCTGAGAGATAATCACGGTGGTTTGACCTGCCGTCCTCCAGGTTGTACATGGCCGATCGAACGTTCATAGACACCTTCAGCTGCGGGAGGCAGTTGGCGAACACGAGGGTGTACTGATCGGCGTCGGACTCGGCGTAGAGAAAGTTCAGTTCGGAGGCGGTGGGGGACGGGAGGCGGTCAAAGGTGTAGACTTTCTGTACGGCGTCGGATCCGAGGACGCAGTTAATCTCGGCGTCCTCGATTTGCTGGAGCACGTGGACCCAGGCGTCGCGTGTGCAGAGGAAGAATCCCACGCTTGATAGGGCCGATAGATCGGTGGCGGGGCCGGAAAGGGAGAGCTCGGTTATGTTGAGCTCCAGTTGGCCACGGTGGGTGAACCCGAACTCGTCGAAAGGGATTATCGGCCGGTCGTCGGATCGAATCTCGGAGAATCGGATCTCAGCAGCGCCGAGGGAGGCAACCGAGAGCAGGAGCAGCAGGCGGAAAGGGAGCCCCATGGTTCAGTTGGATCTCTCGCTCTCTCTGTTTGTCTCTCTCTCTCTCTCTCTCTGGACGTGAGGGGTGTAGGAAATAAAACCTGATCAAATCCCGACATTTTATTTATTTATTTATTTATTATACTAGAAACCTTTATAATTATTTAATTTGTTCATGTTGTAAAGAGTTATTTGTTGTGTGTAATTATTTCTTATTTAAATTTGTTAATAAGTATTGGTTATATTGTCTGATGACATTTATTAGTAGCACAAAAGTTTAAATTATGTTTCTATACAATATAAGTTTTAAGTTTTGATGAATAATTTATATAAAATTTGTTTAATTTACAGTTAATATTGAGTATAATTCATTATTAAAAGAACACACTTAAATAATATAAATGAAAAGGAAAAAAGGGAAAAGAAAAAGAAAGGAAAAATAAAAATCGAAAAAAAGATAAAACCATCTATTAATATTTATGTGCGGCCTGGTTAAAGGTATTGGGAGTCGATTTTGTGCATCCGCTTTTTCTCTTCGAAGACTCCGCCATCTGTTTTTTTTCTTCGAACCCTTGTATGTTTGTTTTCATTTGTGTCAAATTACATCAAGGATACACATGTTATATTTATGAGAGATGATTGAAATTACTTTCTCACCTGCTGATCAACTCCCATAACATGTTCCATATCCATGACCAAGCTGAGGAAATTAACCAAAAGAGTGATAAAATTCAGTTGAACAATAAAAAAATATAGAGAAATTATTTTTGATATGGTGGATGAAACACTTGTCCGAAAGATCACCCCAGGCGGATTTTTGGGCCACTGACCCACTGCACACATAGTTCGACCTGTCGATCGTGATCTTCACACAGCCTGCTCAGTCTCCGCCTCTCAATGGAATAGATACCTTTAAATTCATCTGGGTTGACCTTCAATTCATCTTGTAATTTCTTATTAGAAAAGGCACGTTAAGAAACACTAACACCAGAAAGAACGCTATACGAATGAACAAGAAAAAGGCAAACAATCAATTACCTGAGAAATAATCACAATTCGCGAAACCACGCTATTCAAAATAATTCGTACTGAAAGGAGAGATAATTTACCTGGGTTTCGAGCCAATGGATTCTCAATCACAAAATTAGTAGAACTACTTTCATCTTTTGGCACATGTGTATCAATCAGAAGCCACCTCCTTAGAGCAGCACCTGTAACACCCCGCTATTTCATGAAAATCAGAGTGCGTTTTCGCAAAGTTTTTCAAAACAAAATCATTTAATTTGCGAAATACTGATTCGGAGTGCTACCATAAAACACGACTTAATCTGAAAAAAAACGTTATTTTAGTTTTAAAGAAAACAAACGGTTTAACATAACATATTGACCGACTGAAAGTCAGATCAAAAGCTAAATTCGTCAATTAGCCATAAACAGCGGAAAACGTAGCGTCGTCAAAACATTTTTAAACACATGACTAAAAGTCCTGAACTAACCGCCAGCTCACTCATCGGCTCCGACTCCGTTACCTGAAAAACATGAATAATGTGGGGCGTGAGCACTAAATCCACTATGCTCCGTAGAAACTCATACTAAAGTAAACAGTGAATATAATTACAATATCATGATCCTGGCATATATAACTGAACTGAACTGAAACCGATACTGAATAATCATGACCTGATACTGATGTCGTGATAATCATCACCTGACTGATACCTGAACATCTGCCAGCATAGAAATGTCGGACACCATGTGCACACTCTAGTGGGCAGATTAAGGCCACTAGAACCCAGAATGGACCGGCGACCATTCCGAGCGGATACTGATAATACATACCTCAAACATGATAGAGTAATTATAATCAATGTAATACCCAGTCTGAGTCCCCACCTGAACTGCTGGTCTGAAAATGTAAGTGTTGATCATCTGCAAATTGTGACATATATAAACAAATACTAAATACT